AGAAGAAGAAGAAGAAGAAGAAGAAGAAGAAGAAGAAGAAGAAGAAGAAGAAGAAGAAGAAGAAGAAGAAGAAGAAGAAAAAGAAATGGTAGAGTTCACAGATCGGGAGGATGGGAGAAAGAAAAAGAAAAAAAAGGAACTAAGGAAGAAGAGGAGGAAGGGGGAGAGGGAGAGAGAAGATTGAAATGGTAGAGAAGGGTATTTTTGGAAGAGTGTGGGTTAAAATTAGAAATGTAAACTTTATTTTCGGACGGAGAAAAAGGAGAAACATAAACTTTATTTCCGGACGGAGGTCTGTACATATACAAGCTTGCGCCGAATATGGCCCAATAAAATATTGTTATTTGGTATGCATACACAAATAAATTATGAAATTGGTTTAATAAATTATTTTTATTTGGGAAGCATATACACTCGTGCGCCCAATATGGCCCAATACGCGCGTGCCTAAAGCCTCAATTACTTCAAATTTTGGCATTACGTAAATAAAATAAAAATTTCTTATTACTCCGTGTCACGGAGTACTTATTTTAAGAAGCTCGAATCTCACGAGCCAAAATCAAATAGATTCCACTTATTGCTTTTGCATATGTTTTTGGATTAGTTATATTTAGCAAAACGCTCATTAAGAGTGCATAAAAAATAAAACAGCATACTCAAATAGCACCTACACAACAATAGGTTGAGTTGCTTTGCTCAGCCATGCCATCTCATATTCGTTCATATATGGAGCCAAGATTTCCTTGCATTTAGAATGGTACCGGTTCAACCATTCAACCTCTTGAGGCACCAAAAGGCTCACATCTATAAGTTTCCTCTGATAAGGTGCCTGGACAAGAAGCAGTAACGGATCATATTGAAATGAACAAAGCTGCATTTTAATGTTATACCCAGCTCTTGTGTCTCCAAAGAAACTTTCCATTTTTCTTTTCATTCTTGTTACACGACCGACCACTATGGGTTTATATTGCTTTGCACTTGTGGAGTGATCTGGTTTTTGAATTGTGACCACCCTTTCTGTTTATTTGGTTTGTATTTTTGCCCAAAATGAAATAGCTATTTTGGTTTCCAAAATGAGATTTTATAAATTGCCTTACCCATGACTGGCACCTAATATTAGAATCACACTTTTCATCGGGGTCCAGAAATGCAATCTCAAAACAAACCATTTCTGACATTCTAGAAACAATTCCAGAAAATAGAGACTTTCACATACAGTATTCCATCCATCCCGTAAAAGACTTCAATATTTCCCTTTCTGGCAGTCCCAAAAAAAAACTTCCCTTTCCTTTTAAAGAAATGAATGAGTGGCTCTCAACTTTTTGCTCTATCAAATTATAACCACCAAAAATTTTTCACTTGTCTAACACTTTCTCCTAAAGTCCGTAAAAGTCAAACCAAGAAGTTTTTAAATGGCCAACAAAATTGGGACTTACCCATGTTATATGCTCAAAGGACAAGTAACCCTTGTTCCCGAAGTTGAATTTCGTATCAGCCTCCTTGATAATAAGAACATTCTCTAATCTCACCCCAAAGTTTCCATCCTCATAATACCCAGGTTCTGCAAAAGAATAACACTCCAAGAATGAAAGAATAATACTAGATTTACGAAAAACATGGCCAATACTAATCAGGGAAGCTCAATGCATAAAGCCTCCTTCATCACTTGGTGAGGGTCGAGGGAAGTGCACCCTGAAGGGCAGGGGTGGCTGTAAAAGAATCCTTGAATATGTGCAAAAACACTGCCTTCGTCCATAAAAAGTAGTCTTAATTTACCGAGATAGAACTTAATTTTGGCAATGTACAACTCCAATTTATTATTATTATTATTATTATTATTATTATTATTATTAAAAAACTTATTTGAATTTAATAAAAATATTTATCTATAAATAAAAATAAATAAATAATAATAATAAAAAATAAAATATTCTTTTAATAGTTTAAATTCAAAAAAAACCAAGGATGCGGTGGACGTCTGCTATGGACACCACCGCTACCACTTGGACGCGCTACTCGCCTTGCCCCAAGCCGAGCGCACGGCCCACCCCGCGGCGCCAGTCTGTCCACTTTGCCCTAGAGCGTCGTGCGCCGCTCGCCCGTTCCTTATGGGCGGCACAGCGCCACCCCTCTCCCCCCATTGTACATGCTCTTATGGTTGTTGGTAGGAGCGGGAGATGGGGAAAACTTAAGAAGAATAAGGCTCTGTTCTGATCTGAGTGGATCTGATCTGATTGAGTCTGCTCTGATCTGATTGAATCTGATCAGATCTGATTAAATCTGATCTGATTTGATTAAATTTTGTCTAATCTGATTGGATCAGATATGTTTTGATTCGATCTGATTTGATTGAATCTGATCTGATTGAAGCTGATTTTATCAAATTAGATCTAGTGTAAATGAATTTAAATTTGAGTTAAATTAAACTTAAAATTATTACAAAATTTAATAGTTTTAAAGTATTACAATTCATATATGCAAAAAAAGTAAAATAAGAAAATCAGCTAATCTTTTAAAGTATTGTCTCCTTGCATCTTTTTCTTACCCTTAGTTTGCTTTTCGCTTTTTTTGTCTTGCTATGCTTCCTGTGTTGCTCGATTAAGGGTAAGGTCTTGGTGGAAGACTGCATACATTTTTTACCCACCCGACCCAAACATTGGGATTATACTGCGTTGTTGTTGCAGGCCTAATCTAATGGACTTTGAAACAGTGAAGTCTCTCTAGAGTTTCTGTCATGGACAGAACTCTTCCTACATGGGCTCTGGCCGCTCTGTCAAGGATGAGTCCACCTTGTCCCTACCTTGCCCGTAACACCAAGCTAAGCCATGAGATATGGAAGCATTAAAAAATACTAAATAAGTGTGATGTACTGCTGTCAAAATAAAAAAGTGGTAGAAAAGACCACTTGCCATCTGTAACGGTCATTGAAGCTTGTAATGGCACAATTGTAGCAGCTGGCCTAAAACTGATTTGATGAGGCCCTGCAATTTGTTGTTATAGAACAACAGTATGAGAGCTGAAAATTTACGTTTATAACACCACAGAACAACTTACCTTCATGTTTCTTCTATTAAAAGAAACAACTTACGTTCATGTACATTCAAGAAAGATCCAATGCCATGCCCAGTACCATGTCTGTAATCAAGACCATATTTCCACAAAGGCGTCCTAGCAAGAATATCAAGTGTATTCCCTAAAAATAATAATTTGGCGTATCATCAAATAGATATGCTACGTATTTATTCTTGACATGCCAGTAAAACACATTCACCAAAAACCATGCTAATTATATAGCCATCTCATGCTTCATAAAAAAATACTTCAATCTCATACCATTGGTCCCATTCGGAAAGCAAGCATCCCCCAATGCAATATGGCCTTTTAGAACCTACATAAAGTTAATGATTTTTTTTAAAGAAAATGAGTTCATAGACTTCATACTCATTGGTAGTTTAAGCAAAAGCAACATTTCAGTTTCTTAACATGACAATGTATGCAATTTTGCTCACAGATCTGGTTTTTATAAGGAAACAGAACTGATTTAAGAAACTTAAAATTTCCGTCTCCTGCGGTGTTCAAAGTCGCAGACGGTCGCTGATTGAATTTATGAAAAGAAATCAATTTTCGGGAAGAGAAAGAGTCACATTGTCGCACCTTTTCGTCTCCTAGGTTGTCCCGCGCTTAAAGTCTTCAATAGAGTACATGTTATGGACGTTCTTATTAAAATATATGGAAATTTATTCTATAACCTCTTCATCTAGTAGATGCCCACCTTCTGAAAAATCTTATTTTATAGATATGATTCATATGAAGGTAAATATCAAACAATTCCTCTAAATGAGTTCGTCGTTTATTCATGCCAAACATGCTTAAACCTTTCTAGGATATTTTAGACAATCCATCATCATTTCTTTATTGATTATGGAAAACAAACAACTTATTCCACGCAATCAAAAACAAGAAAATGGACAGCTAAATCCGGACCAAAGTTATCACGATGCGGAGTCGAGGCGCGGCGCTGAGATACCGCCAGGACAACTAGTTGACTAGGCGACCGCCTAGGCGACACATAATATAGGAGAATTGCTATACATTAAATAAACTAATATGAATATATCATATTATGTATTGTAGTTGGTAAAGTTTAAATTTTTCTAATACATTAAAGTTTAACTACCAAAGTTACTTTAATGTACTTTCCTCAAAAAAATAAAGTTGAAAAAAAGTGTTACCGACTTAATTTGGTAATAAATTAATCATTTAAAATTTAAAAAATTAAGCACCGAGTATTAATTAGGAAGAAGAGGTAGAAAAAAACATTAAGTTGCAAATAACATAATTTATAAAGCAATAAAAACAAAGCACTGGAGGGGTATAAAACACTTAAAAAATAAAGCACTGGAGTAAAAAAAACAAAAGTACTGGACTAGGCGAGCCAAGCGAGGCTAAGGCGATGCCTAGGCGAGGAAAGGCAAGGCCAAGGCGAGGTCTAGGCGAGGTATGCAAAACAATGTGAGGCGTCATGGCAAGAGCAGAAGGGCGCCAGGACACCTAGGCGACGCCTTGATATCAATGATCTGGATTCCGGACGGAGGAAATAATTGTGTAATGTTTTAACTTTTAAACATTAGCTAATAGCTATTACTCTAGGATTCTGTTATTCAAGTTAGAATCCTCTACCCCTAGCGATCCTAACTAGGATCTTGAGTTTTACAACCTTGATATCTATTATATAGGGGTAAGGTAGCGTTACTTGTGTATACCTTCACCTTTCAGACCCCCAACGTAGTTGGGATTATTGTGGGTCTGTTGTTGTATAATGCTAGTATGCTACATAATATAGAATAAAAATAAAGAAATCATGCTGATGGATTTAATCCACCGGCTAGGGATATGAATGAGGAAAGATATCAGAATAATAAAGTATAATACGGAGTAATAACCTTTCTGAATATATTTTTTATTGCTTCGAATTGCTTACCCATTCTTCATGAGAGGGAGTACTTATACATCTCAATCATTGTTAATTGCCTCCACTCTCCACTGTTTAAGGGGCAATAGTGGTGGGTCCACGGCTCCACTTAGGCCCCGTTCCGTTCCACTTTTTTTTTATTTTTCTTATTCTTATTAAAATCAGATCACACCAGATTAGATCAGATTAGATCAGATCATATCAGATCGAATCAGATCAGATCCAATCATATCAAACCAGATCAGATCATATCCAAATAAGAATTATTATTATTATTATTATTATAATTATTATTATTAAAAATGAAAAAGAATAATTTTTAGAAACATGTTAAATAGAAAACTGAGAAAGTAATCCTTAAATATTAGACGTCGAAAAAATTATTTATAAAATACATTGACAATGTCAATCTAATTCTACTTTTAAAATACATTTTTATTGCTACCTATAATTTGAGTTTCTAAAGTCTTGATCTTTTACTATATCGAGTTGATCAACTTTGATCATGACTTAAATAAAATTAACATTTGATATTCATATACGGAGTATATTTTAGTGCAACTGAAATAACTATTATATCTATGGTATATATATTAATTATAAAAAAGTTTCGTAGTACAAAGCACACGTTGATATTTTATAAGGATGAGATATTTTATTAAAAATACTATCTCTTCTCTATATTGATTATCTAAATTTAATTACTTTTTAATGTATATATGAATTAAATACTTATCCTAATGTATATATCAACTAATTATTAGAATATTAAATCAATATTCTTATATCATAAAAAAATAATCATAAAATAAAAAATATAATTACATTATAATATGAATGATTATTCTAATATAAAATATTGATTATATTATAATATGAATTATCATAAAATAATTGAATTAACTAATTTTATTTCAATAAAAAATAATCATAAAATAAAAAATATTGATTATATTATAATATGAATTATCATTACAATTTTCAAACATTATTATAAAGTGAAATCAAATTAATGATTTGAATTTTAAATCAAATCCTTATTAATCAGATCAGATCAGACCAAATTCGATCAGATCGGATCAGATGCAATCAGATCTAACCAGATCAGATCCAATCAGATCAGAGCAGACCAAATCAAATCAGATCAGAACTACAAAAAATCAGATCAGATCAAAAAAATAAGTTGAACGGAACAGAGCCTTAGTAGCCTTAGCCTTATTCTCATTCAGCTTGGTCAACCATAGCCTTAGGTCTAATATTTTGGTGGCTGATGGGACCATTATGCTGGTGATGTGTAGTCATCGGCCCAAAGTGGCCCACTTGTAGACAACTGAGAATTAGGAGACCAGATTAGGGTTCGGCCGGCCCAAATTGTTTTAAGCCAAGTAACTTGTTCGGAAGGGGTTAAACCCTAATTAGTTTTCTATATATATGTTCTCCTGTACTCGTACTTGTTATCACTCAATAATACAAACCCTAGTTGTCCCTGTGGATGTAGGTCAGATTAGACCTAACCACGTTAAATCTCTTGTGTTCCTTATTGCTTTCTTGCTTTCTATTCGTGTGTCTGTGTGTGCCTTTGTTCCTAACAACTGGTACAAGAGCCTAAGTCGTACACACAGATCAGCATCCACGGCCAACCCTAGCGGCTCTAGGGTTTCTCGTGACACATCAGAAGACCATCAAGCTGTTCAAAATCTGAACAGCCTTGCTGTTCAGATTGCTGCTGCAATTTTTGAGGTCAGTTCTGGTTGTTTGTTTCAATCTGTTCTCATGTGTTCTCTGGTCAGATTTTGGGTACTTAGAAGAGATGATGTGTGAAGACGGAAAGATCAGGATAGAGAAGTTTGATGGGCAAGATTTTGGATGGTAGAAGATGCAAGTCGAGGACTTGCTATGTCAGAAAAGATCTTCTTCCATGTTTGACAGGTCAGAAACCCGAGAAGATGAAGGATGAAGAATGGGCTGACTTGGACAGAAAAGCCCATGCCGTCATCAAGTGCACTTTGACAAAGAGTGTGGCTTTCAACATCGTGAAAGAGACTATTGCTTGTGGGGTTATGACAACGTTGTCAAATACTCCCTCCGTCCTATATTGACCTTCCCATATTGACAAACTCATTTTTAAGGGATTGCATAGTTTTACTTTGACTTCCAGTTTTGCCCCCCCTTCAAACTTTGAAAGGGCTTAGCATTCGCCAAGAATATTATAAAGGAAGCTTGTCTCCGCCGCTTTGCTACTCCCGAATCCCGATGACGAAGCCATCGAGCTCTTCCAGGCCTTTTCCAAAGAGGTCAGCAAAGGCTTGCTCGACGCCGTCAAATCCGGACCCGCTTCTACCGTGCCGAATGATAAGCCATCTTTGGGCCGATGATGATTAGATCTAGCCGTGCCGTGCCGTGCCGGATAAGTAGCCGTTGTCGGCGATTCATAATGAAAATTGACTGAATCCATATAAAGGTGGGCCGATGATGATTAGATCTAGGATTTCATGAAGATGGAAGAGACGGAGAGAATGCGGAGACAGATTGGGGGAAGAAGAGGTAAGGTGAGAGAGAGAGGATGTGAAAGGGGTGGCGGAGACATAATGGAGGAGAAGAAGATAAGGTGAGAGAGAGAGGAGGGGAAGAGATAAAGGTGGGGTGGGGAGATAGTGGCGCGTAAAGGTGAAGTTGGAAAGGTGGTTGGAGGAGTAAATGGATGAGGGGTATTTTGGACATTACATGCACCTTTTTTGTATGTGGGAAGGTATTTTTAGGACGGGAAAAAAAGGGAAGTGGGAAGATGGTTTTAGGACGGAGGGAGTATGTATGAGAAACCTTCCGTGTCTAATAAGGTATTCTTGATTAGACAGTTAGTTAACACTCGTATGCGGGAAGGTGGTTCTGTTACTGCTCATATCAATGTTTTCAATACCATTATATCCCGTTTGCTATCAGTTGATATCAAATTTGATGATGAGGTCCAAGCTTTGCTTCTTTTATCTTCATTACCGGATAGTTGCTCAAGATCAGTCACGGCTATTAGTGGTTCAGCTGGAAACACCACACACACATTTGAGGGAATCCATGATTTTATCTTAGGAGAAGACATCAGGAGAAAGAATACGAGTGAATCATCCAATTCTCTGTTGAGGATTGAGGAAAGAGGTAGAAAGAAAGAGAGGATAAACGGTTACACGGGAAGATCTAAATCCAAAGGCAGGAGAGGGAGTTCAAAGACAAGAAAGCGACATCAAGTATTGGAACTGTGATGAGCATGGACACTTCAGAAGTCAATGCATCAAACCATCTAGAGACAAGAAAGAGGTGAATGCTGCCACAACCTCAGATTCTGACGATTTCTTAATCTGTTGTGTAGAGCATAGTTGTGAATGGCGAGCGCTTATGGCGCTTTAAGCGCTGTGGCGAGGTAA